CTTGACCCAAAGCTCTTTGAGCTTGCGGCAGATGTCAAGCTTCAATCCAGGAATTTCAGTGCAGCCATTGCCTTGTACAAGCACTCAAGGGTTAGTCATTGCTATTTACTGTTGTTGTGACTTACAAATAAGAATTGTTTTTTAGCTATTTTTGATTAGATATTGAATGGTGCCATGTGATGAAAAGTTTAATGAATGTTCTTTTATGCTGATATTACTTTTATGCTTCACAGTGTCCTCATGTGAAGTGCTCAATCAAGTTTGCTGGCCAAGGGCTAGTAACAGAGTTTCTCACCTACATGGGAACACTGACCAGTGGCGTGAGTGGGCCAGACCTTGGGGTGGAAGAGCGCCGTAACCTGGCTAACCTCGCCATCATATGTCATTTGCACCACCTGTGTCTTCCAGGCTCACACAAGCCACCTCAGCAGCAACAAGCCTTGAGAAACTTGCTTCTTTTCCTTAGGGACAATCAGTACTATGATGAAGTACTGGCACTCGCTCTGGCTGCTGGCTCCTGGCGCTGGGAGACCCTGCAATACCTGGCTGCTTCACGAGGCCTCTATCTTGAAAAACTACAGCTTTTGATGGCATCACAGGCATCCCCTATTCTAGACTCAATTGAACTTGACCAGATGGGAGGCCAGACCACCATTGACAGCATCTCTCCCCTGGCACGAGAAAGGGAGGCTGGCTATCTGCACTGTGTTTCAGACCCAGAGCTACGTCAGGTCCTCCTCACTCGTCCAACACTGGCACGAAGACACATTGCCCTCGTGCTGGGGTTGCTCTCTACTCTCGAGGTCCCTGTCCTCCGCCGTCTGGCTGACCTATACAATCCAACGCAGCCAGCTATAAGGCCATTCCTACAGACAACCAATGGAAAAAAACAGGCATTTCTTCCTTTATCATCAATGGTTCACAACTCTTGTCTGCTTGCTTATGGTAGTGAAGAGCTGGTGTCAGTTGAAGCTTTTGTTGAGGTATTCCTTTCCATCATCATCCATCTAAACCAAAGAAGAGGTTGGATGTACAATCCTGAGCTCCTAACCTACAAAGTGGAAATTCCAAAAGAGGTGAGACCTGCATTGCTCACACACCATGACCTGTTTAATGTTGGAAATTTGTGATTCTTGCACTTATTTTTATTTTTTTTGCTCATAATCAGTCTGTCTCCCTCAGATTGTACCAGTGCCAGTGGATAAAGTACATCATCAGGTGTTGGCATGTGGATATGGTCACACTTCACTGATTATTGGTGATGTTCTCTATACATGGGGCAGGCCAGACTATGGTGTTTTGGGCCATGGGTCTCGATGCACCACAAACCCTAAGCTTGTATCAGGTGTGAACGTCTTTCTCCCAGAAGATCAGGAGGTTAGTTAGTTAGTTTTTTTTTTTTTTTTTTTTTTTTTTTTTTTTTTTTTTTTTTTTTTTTTTTTTTTTTTTGTGTGTGTGTGTGTGTGTGTGTGTGTGTGTGTGTGTGTGTGTGTGTGTGTGTGTGTGTGTGTCTGTGTCTGTGTCTGTGTCTGTGTGTGTGTGTGTGTGTGTGTGTGTGAATGGATACTCCTCTTTTTTCTATGTGTTGGTTTAAATTATTAGAAGTAAAATGTCATACCTTACTGTAGTTTATAGTTATGAGAATTTTTCCACCATAATTTACATGATACTAAAACAAATTGCAAGAAGATCTATGGAACTCATTTCCCATCTGCCAACCCGCTCCAACAGCCAAACCTCAATGGCACCGTCCCCCATCTTGTATCTGGCACCAGCCCTTTGACGCCGCTCATGAATGGCAGAAGCCAGGCTAGCTTAGTTTCTGATGGCTCCGAGCCAAGGATGGTCGCGTACTTTACCCAGATGAAGGTGCTGAGTGTGGCTGCAGGAAAGAACCATATGCTAGCCATCACAGATAATGGGGTGAGTAGAAAAATGGTGATGATGAGGCTGATCTGTTAATTACTGCAAAATGTGCATATATCTTTATGCTAATGATTTAGAATCGCATGAATAATATAACAATGAGAACACTTCTTGATATAAGTTACTTGTTTCATTATTACATTGTATTACAAGTGTTCCTCTTTTTCTTGAACACATTAGGTGACTTCTGAAGCCTTTTTTTATATTTAACAGGTCTATGGTTGGGGTAATAGCAGGTATGGTCAGGTAGGCACAGGTAGCACAGGTCGCTATCCCAGGCCCACCTTGCTAACAAGTCTTGAGGGGAAGGGCATCGTGAATATTGCCTGTGGGCAGTTCCACTCAATGGCAGTCAGTGAGGATGGCAAGTGAGTGGACACAGAAAATGAAATTGTGTTTTGTGTGATTACTTGAAGTATGAATATTTATTTGGTATTAATTTTGTATTTTTGTAGGGCTGTGCTTAAGTTTTAAGAGGTTTTCTTTCTTGCTTTGAGGGAATGATACCAACCTTCTCTTTTCCTTTTCAGGCTCTATACATGGGGTTGGGGGGTCCATGGGCAGCTTGGGCATAGTAGCGTGGAGGATGTGCAGGTGCCCATGGCCATTGAGAGATTAGCCAAAAAGGTACAGAAGCCTCTGGTACTACATTGTTAAGAAATCTATGGATGTAATTAATGTACAGTTTAGGAAGGAATGATAAGAACCTTCCATAAGTAATAAGACATTAACTTTTTATTTTTCAGAAAATTGTTCTAGCACAAGGTGGTTATGCACACACTGTGGCCATGGCCTCAGATGGGTCTGTGTATGCATGGGGCTGTGGGACATATGGGCAGTGTGGGAATGGTGGAATCATGAAAGTAACAAGGCCTGAGAGAGTCCCCCTCCCTGGGCCTGCAACACACCTTGCTGCTGGGTACTTCCAGAATGTAAGTTTGTTGACTGTTTGTTTATTTGATGACATAATAAGTTATGACTAGACAGGATTCATAATTGCATCAGTGAGGTACTGTGTAATTTGGATTGTTTTGAAAGGTTTGGTTTTCTCATCTTATGACATGTTTTGCTTGTCCAGATTGCTGTAACAAAGAACCACAAAGTGTACACATGGGGCAATAATCCAGCCTGCCTTAGGGTACAGGCTCAGCTGCAACGGCGGGCCCGACTAACGCAGCAAGGTGAAGG